GCCCATGGCCACAATTCCCCCTAGCCCAACTGGGAAGTCACAGTCTCATGGACTAAAAGATTACCGCCTTCTACCCTCCCACATATTCACCATGAGGGTAGATTTGATCATTTGTTAAGCATCCCTAGGTAATACCAACAAATCCTAAATCTTGATGCTTCTTTCCAGGAGAGCGACCACTCAGGTGGGTGTGGAGCGGTGGCCAGGGACAATCACGGAGGTTTCATTGCAGCAACTACTGCCAATCTGCTGCATGTCAGAGACGTGGTTTCAGCAGAAGCGGCGGCACTACGCAAAGATCTAAAGTTATTGTTGAATCTTGGGTGCAGCAATGTAATGGTGAGGATGGACAATATTGTTGTGGTGGATTCCCTTCAACTGAACGAAGGTCATGCTATGGTGGCAGCTCCAATCTTCAAAGAGTGTAGAATTCTACTCAGGGACATAGGGAAGGTGACTATCGAGCATTGCAATCGGGAATGAAATTGTGTTGCTCATGAGCTAGCTTGTTGGGGTTGTGCAAACACTCCATCCTTGTGGGCGGATGCACCGCCTGATTTTATTGTAAAGTTTCTAGCAGACGATGTAAATTTGATTGATCAATAAAGCTATCCGTCAAGGCATAAAAAAAAGCATCCCTAGGTAATAAAGAGCTCCCCATACACTATCACTTTTTTGGGGGGCCAACAAGACTTTATTCCTCAAATGACAGCAAGATCGTTTACAATAGCATGAGAAATAAAGTCCGGGGTAATAGATTCCCAAAAACAAGAAGTTCTATGACTAAAAGCATTGCTTGCTAATAAGTGTGCAGCCTCATTTGCTTCACGAAGACAAAGTGAGAACTCAACTTTGGCAAAGTTTGGAACTAGGTGTCTGCATTCCATTTCATCGGTTGCCCCATACACTATCACTTGAAGAAACTTGTGAGGAGACAGTTCTCCCCTCCTTACAAATAGTGTTCAAAGGGGCCGGGTTTCGGAGTACGGGTACCTTGCAAGTGTCGGGACCCGGGATCGACGATATGAAAATCTAGTCATTTAACTAGCAAATGCATATCACAATCCAAACCCCTCCACACAACATGCACATTCTATCCATACACGTAACACGCATGCCATGTGGGCGAGAACAACATGCAACACAACACAACTGTTTACAGAACTGTAATATATTTTGCAGTAGACCCCCCTATATATGAGCAGGCCCTAGTTCCCGAGATCTGGAAAACCGAACGAACCGAGGAGGCTAAAAAAGAGAGAGAGAAAAAAACCCACCCTAATCCCATCTCCTACATCCCAACCCACCTCCCCGTGTTCGCCATTGTTGGCCCAGCATGCAACCCATCTTGTTGTCCCACCACGAGCGCTACCTCCGCACCTCCATCTCCAACTACCGCCGTGCCTGGATCAACTGCGTCGCTCCCCACCATCGACATGCGTGGCTGCTGTCGGACCCTGCGGGCTGCCCATCTAGCTAGTGCCCATGTGCCACCGCGACCCAGTCCTGTGTGCTGCTGCTGCAACTCACACCGCCCCAGGATCACTTGCGTTGTTCTGCATCCAGCCGCCGCTCCTCGCTACCTCGCCTTAACCCTGCGGTGCCCCGCACCCCAACGATGTGGCCCGCGTGGTTCCAACACTTCTCCAGCACTAATGGCGCCACCACGCCCTCATCTCCCTGTAGCACGAGAGATCCTATCGAGGTCCCCGACCGCGGTCATGCCGCTATGCTGCCTGCATTCCCCCTGCTACACCATCATCTCCCCCCACCCGTCGACTGCTCTAGCTCCGGCCCCCAAGCCAATTACACTATGGAGCTCCTGTTACCATGGCCCTTGTCCCCCATCCATGGCACTACTCCGGCGGTCCTGCACCCGCAACACTGTAAATTCCCCAAGTACCACCAATCTCCTGCCACCGCCCATGGTGCTACTTCACCGGCGTCTTCATTCCCATCCTTCTGTTGTGCTTCTTGGGTATACTGTGGAACAAACCGGGAGAACATTCTTAAGAAATATCTTATTTTGTCCTTTGTGATTACCTGCTCTGTTAAATCACTTGTCTTAGATGTTCATGCATGGGGGAAAAAATCTTTTGTTTCTGGAATTGGACACACTGGCATCTGATAAGGTAAGTTCATATTTTCAATACAAACGGACCAATAGGGAAGTTCAAGTTAAACAAAGAGGTTCAAGCTGAGATAACTAAGCACTTTGATGTTTTAGAAAAAGTCACGTGAAAAATAAAAAGAAGGTCACTAAATAAAAATAGCTAAAAGACCCTCAAAGTTCACATGGGAAAAAACGGGATGGTTGCACAACAAAGGGTCCAAGAGTTTGGGGACCAAAAATGCATATACTCTGGGATTTTTTTTCAAGAAATTCACTTAAAAAATCACAATGTCTGTTCTTTAAGTTTTTTTTGGCTGGGGTCTGTTCTTTAAGTTACCCTACTATCGTGAACTTTTTGTTTAAAACTCTAAAAAGGTTGCCACTAGAATTTCACATGCTCAAATAGAAAAGGTAAAAAAACTAAAATAGAGATGGCAGAAGTTAAAATAAAATGAAGTTCATATTGCAAAATTATGATAGTCTAGATGAAATACCAGATAGATTTTAAAATATAGAATTCAATAAACTTGGGAGATTGAAGAAACATCTTTGGAATTTCACTAGACTAAAAGATGGAAGTTCATAGTTGCCAAAAAAGAATAGAAAGTCCAAAAACCAATTGTGGATTTTTTTGGAAGTATAGTGATAACATCCAGAAAAGTTCAAATAACAAAGTTTCAATAAAAAATAAACCCATGTGGATTCACCAAAAAAGCCAGGAAGTTAGAGAGACAAAATTTGCAAAAATTTGGAGGCATGAGAAAAATTCACCTTCGAAGTCACAGAAAGTCCATACCATCACTTCTTGAAGTTTATGTGCAAAAACATCAAAGGCATTTCACAAAACTAACTTGAGAAGTCCAAAATAAAACCCAATGAAGTTCCACCACAAAACGAACTTCATGTGGCTAAATTTTTCATGAATTTAAAAAGTTGAACGCAAGTAAGTTCACATAAAAACTAAAATACAAAGTTAAAAAATGCAAGAAAAAAGGATTAAAAGTTCACCCCCGGTGGATTTGGGAGTTTGGAAAATAATAGAATACCTACATCTCCACTACAATTTTCTACGCAAAAAATAATAATTCCATGCATGATCAAGCCCAGGATCACTATGGTGCTATACGTAACGATGATGAGGAAGAAGAGCTGATGAAGCTCGCCGATTCCTACAACTAGGTTATACCTTCCAGCCACTAGATATTTCTCCGGGACGATACGCCGCTCTATTGTCGAAGTAAATGACACCTTCGTGGT